TTATCTGTCTGGTTGAGTCATTCCGGGCCAAGTGGGCACCATCATGGGACGGGCGGGAGGTCTCATCATTGGGGGCCCAGGCATCATTGGCATGTGCCCTCCCATAGAAGGCCTCATTCCAGAAGCAGGTCCCACTGGCATCATCCCAGGAGGAGGAGGACCCATCATTGGCATCATGGGAGGGCCCCCCATATGGGGTGCTGGCATCATACCGGGGCGAGGTGGACCCGGAAGACTGGGGGGAGGTGGGATTATCGCCCCTGCAGGAGGTGGAGCTGAGAATGGAGTAGGAGGTATTTTTCCTTGCTGAAATGCTGCAGTTGTTTTGTCAGTCAGGCTCTGCGCCTGCTCTTCCATCCATTTCTGATAGTAGTCTTTCACATTCTCTTTGTGTTTCCTACCACTGCAGTGTGTCTTTCTCACAGATGGAGAGTCATGGGTGAGGTATGTATTGCAGTAGTCACAATAAAACTTAGGCATGTTGTTCTGCAGGCCGTTGGCACTCTGTTCTTGTTTTGCTTTTAGAGGAGCTGATTTTCTCTTTTTCAAGTCCAACATGTCCTGATTTAATTACTGCACTCACCTTTTCTTGTGCTGGGTGAAAAGATAGCCTGGGGGAATTTAGAAAAATTCCATACCCCCGAGCTCTGAGCCACTGAGAACATAATGAGCCAGGAAGAGAGAACACACACAGCCTTTGAAATAACTGAAACCAGTGCACTGATCGCATTTTTTATATTAATGAAGTCTTTTACTTCGTTGAGGTGTGCATAAAAGGAAGGAGTGATGGCTAAAAACTCAGGGTTTGGATCACAGTTATGGGTTTTAAGTCCTGGTTCTACCTGCCATTTACTTCGCTGAGATATGGGTCAAGTAATTTAATCTCCCTGAGCTTCAGTTTCCTCATTTGTAAAACCCATCTCGCAGAATTGCAATGAAGGTTGAATATGGAATATGTATAAAAATATCTTGGCACACAAAAAAGTCCCAGTACCATGAGCTGACAATAATAGTAACTTTTGTCACCATGGACATTTACTTGAACCACATCCAAATGGATTTAAGAGAACACGTAATGTTTACTTTGAAAAAAAAAATGCTCTTCTGATTCTATTGTTATGTTTCATCACACTTTACTATAATTGTTTGCTTAATGTCTGACTATTCCCGCTAGACTGTAAGATCCTTGAGAAAGGAGCGATGTCTCTCTCATCTACCCCGAAAACACATGAATTAGCACGAGGTTTAGCCTGTTGTTTCTGTGGTGGCGACCAGGGTACGCTCCCCAGCTCCCCATGGATGGCAGATCAGGTGGTGGCAGGGGTTTGGATGCAAGGAAGGCAAACATAGGAGGTGAAAATAAATAACAGGTGTTCCTCAGTCCATTCCCTAGGGATTACTGTGAAGGTTACAGGCTGAAATAGGAATTGAAGTATGAAAGGCATCAGAATTAAGGCCATCAGAGGGGTTCTAGTTCTGGTTCTCTCAAGTGGAATGAGAAATGGGAGCACAGCCAGGCGGATGGAAATAACTTCATCCAATAACTTAGAGGCTATTTCAACGCCTTTGATCTTCATGGTTCTTTTTGGGGAAAATTGTAAGTGCATAATCTGTGTTTTAATGTCTCTGTATTCAAGTACAATTTCCCCTTTTACTCATTTACTACATTTGCATTGAGTTACATACATGAGTTAAAGTCCTATAGGCAGCTTTGGATCAGTCCTATCAACTGAGCAGAATATCTGGGAGAGGTTCCAAAAACAACATTCTAATCTATCAAATGAGGTTCTGTTTTCAACCTGCTGATCATGGACCCCTCTGCAGTTAAGCATATTTTTAGCCTTTTAGAATAATGAAGGTACTAGGTCAGTGCTTCTCAACCTTCTGGCCCTTTAAATACAGTTCCTCTTGTTGTGACCCAACCATAAAATTATTTTCATTGCTACTTCATAACTGTAATATTGCTACTGTTATGAATCGTAATGTAAATATCTGATATGCAAGATGGTCTTAGGTGACCCCTGTGAAAGGGTCGTTCGATCACCAAAGGGGTCTAGACCCACAGGTTGAGAACCGCTGTACTAGGTGCTTGTAACAGCTCAATAAAGAGAACACACAATGAGAGGGAAAGCTGGTCTAGGGCCAGGAGGGTATTGTTAACAAAAGAAAGACCTGCAACTGGATCACCTGAAATTTGGATAGTCTTCTAAGGTGTTGAAGTCAGCTTCTTAGCCTCACCAAAAGGAAGAAAGAGTTCCAAGCAGAGATAGTTTCCCAGTCAGTGTCAAGGAGGTGTCCTCATGGCAAATCTGAGTGGATAGCAGATTGCTCTCCTCAATCCTGACTTTCAATAATGGAAGTCCATTTTTGCCAGATCATGCACACTGATAGGTACGAATTCAAGTAACTGTTGAGTAAGTCTGCTAAAGATGTCTTTTACAGAATGGAGGAGGAAAATTCTCTGAAAGAGAAAGCACCAAGTCACAAAAGCCCTCACATCCGAATTGTTAAAAATTATTAGTATAGACATGGAGTCTCTTAAAAACTTCAACTCGAAACTGGTACTACCACTCATTAAGTGTTTGTCTCCAACAAAAATCACAAGGAATTCAAATGAAAATGATATTTTCCTTGTACTGGGTCTATATTCAGTGACCTTAAGAAAATTGACATATATTTTAAAAAGGAATAAGTGGACCAATTTTTAGTATAAGCCAAACTCTTGATTCTTAAATCCCTTCAGAACATTTCAAGATGCTTAAATAAATGTAAAGACAGTTGCTGACATTTGAGCTGCCTGGGTAATGTGTCCTGTGATTTGTCACAACACTGCACACATTTACATGTTCTTTTGAATCCACAGCACCGAGCTCTGGTGGTCAATTAGAGATTTATTTTTAATCAACCATGGTACCTGGTACTGTCATCCTATTTTAGAAAACTAAGTAGTTTAAGAAAAATCTCAGACTGTTTCTTCCAGAGTTATTTACACTAAGCTATACTAACACATAGTTTTAGGAGAGAAGACAGCGTAAACTCTGGGGGAGGGGGGTGTTGCGTGGGGGTGGGGGGATAGAGAAAAGTGGAAAGTATCATTAAATTGTAATCTTATAACAATGCCCTTCAAATAGAAAATTTCAATATGCCATTCCTTTAGTTGTCTCTGCAGTAAGAGGAAGAGAATGGATGGATATGACGCCGGCTTACTATAGGACTTTTAGATGTTTTAAGGAGGTCAAATGATATGCACCTACAGCTTGGCACTGTGCTTGTTTTATTTGCATAATCTTGTTAAAACATCTTAAAAGCAGGGCTGATGTGGGAATTCCAGGACATCCCTTTTAGATGTATAACATATTTAATGAGGGTATCCTATCTAATAAAAGGGTAATATGCAAACTAACGATCACTCCGTCACAAAGATGGTGGTGCCCATGGCCACAAGGTGGCAGCACCCAGTCCCCTCAGCCTTGCCGAAGTCTCTCAGTCCTGGGGGGGCTGCTGCTGAGATCCGGATGTGTGAGTGGCCTGGCAGAATGCTTGTTTAGTCACGGTGGCGACAGAGGGCCTCTGGGCAGTGGGCGCTGAGTGACTGAGGTGGGATGCTTGCTTCGTCACTGCGGCAACGGCTTCAGAGGGCCTCTAGAGGACAGGGGGGCCAGCCCGCCTCTGCCGAGCGCAGGAGAGGAGACTGCGGGCCTGCTTCCCACAGAAGCAGCATGGCTCCCTCCCGCCTCCCGTGGGCGGCTCGCTTCTACCTCCTGAGGAAGCTGCATGGCTCCCGCAGAAGCAGCAGACAGCTTACTGCATGCGATATCGTGCGATGACTACTAGTCTTTTATAAAACTGCCAATTCAACACCCTTCATCTGGCCAGCTCGCTTCTTACCTGTGCACGTCTCTCTCCAGTCCTCTTTTGGACTGTTTATTTTGTGCAGACTGGGATGTTTTTCTTTACTTACCTCCAACCTTCTGTTTCTGCCATTGCCTCTGATGCTACCAGTCGAAGTTTCTAGGTTCCCAGAGCCTAATCAGGGCTCCAGGGCAGGATGAAGTGCTTATAACTATGCCTTGCTTCCACTGTCATCTTGGTTTCCAAGGAAAGGCAACACAAGAGTGAGCAAAGGAGGGATCACAGGGCAGAATGAATTGTGTGCTTGTCTCCCTCCCAATTATAACACAGGCCATGAAATTGCCTCTGAAGTCACATCTGAAAATAGGCAAGTGGACCACTAGTCATTTTGTAAATGTTGCTTCCTACTTGCGCCAGATGGTGGCCAGGGCCATGCTGTTCCACTACCCATCACTGCTATGACCCAAACCACCCTGAAGACCTGCCCAGCCTGGGTGGTGACACAGCTCATAGAAAGAGATGAGACAAATTCAGGACAGGCACCGGCCAGCTGCTATCAACATCATGGTGTGACCTTGATACCACACTCTGGTCCTGGCCCTGCACCTGGTTCAGGGGGTTGGGCTGGGGAGGGAGTTAACTTTGGCACGTCTTTCTTACCCTCACTTCTTACTTTCCTTTCTTAGTTCCTCTGTGGATTCTGTATCATCAGACCTTCCTACTGTGACTTCACTTTACAATGAAAAGCACCCTTAGGTAGGGAATGGCAACCATCATTTGTTCCCCTTGCAATGGCAGACTACGAGCCAAAAAGTTTGAGAACCACTTCGTTATTTAAAAAAAAAACACTGTTCTTCAAGAATGGGATATAGACAAACATGAGAAACACATAGTCCCTGAGATTTGGGTATTCTCTTATTCTTTGTTTATTTCTCGGGGATATATAATCAAGTGATGTCTATAAAAACACTTTGAGAAAAGTTTGAAGCATTATATGGCTACAAGGTGTTATTACTTCCTGTACAAGCTCTAATAGCGAAAATTATAATTAGCATTCAGTAAATGCTAGCTAGTAGTGTTACTGTGTAATACCCCCTCTCCCCTTAATAAGTAAGCCGTAATACTTGTGTAATACTTCCTCCTCACAGGTATGAATTAGGAGCCGCTCTGTTTATTGGATGGTCAGGAGCCTCACTCTGCATAATTGGTGGCGCCATATTTTGCTTTTCAATATATGACAACAACAAAACACCCAGGTATGAAAAAGAAACAAAATGACCTGTTAAAAAGTACTATCCTATTCCAAATCACTACATGTGAGACAAGTTATAGATAGTTCATGCTTCTTAGAAACTTTAAAAACCCAGAATTGGGAATATATTGTAAATATATTAAACATAGTAAATATTATATTGAATAGAATATAGTTAATTATAGTTCTTTTTTTTTAAAGCTCATTATTCTTACATCCCAAAGCTAGTTCTGGAAGTAGAACTATGGGTCTGACTAGGGGGGCATTCTTCACTTTAGCCTCATCATAATGTTCACATAGAAATTGCTGATGAAGGTCACTGTGGTCTCCGAGGTTCACCAGAAGTTTTAAATAATGGTTTTAAAGGATAATCACTGAACAAATGAAAAAGCCATGAGCTTCCTCTGCAGAGATTGTCACACCAGCAGTTCAGAATTGACTTTGAAACATTTCTTGGGAAGAAAGCTCACTGAAAGCAATCAGGGAGACTTGGGCTGAGCTAGGACAGAAGTAGGGGGAGAGTGGATTCTTTCCATTTTTGTTTGCCTTACGTGTAAAACAGAATCTACAGAACTGTGTTTTGCCTTTCAGAATGAACTACGCATACAATGGGGCCACATCTGTCATGTCTTCTCGGGCAAAGTATCACGGTGGAGAAAATGTCAAAACCGCAACCCCCCCCAAACAGTTTGATAAAAATGCTTACGTCTAAAGAGCACTGCTGCAAGCTGTGACTTGGGTTTGTTATAAAGGTGAACCGTTCACACAATGATCCCATTGGGGCTCTCCTATAATTAACACTCAAACTATTTTTAAAATATGAATTTTTGAAGTTGTTGATTGTATGGATGTAAATGTTCTTACATAGTTATAGACTAATCATTTTCTGTTATGGCTTTCTATAAAAAAATAAACAGGTTATTTACAGGATGTGTATATATTTTATCCCTTTGTAGCAGCAAAGGGGGTCAGGATGTATTTTGTAAAGCAGTCTTAATCAGATGTTGCAGTCTTTATCCCCCTTCCTTATGATTCTTTCTTCATATATTTAACAGAAAGCATATAACGAGTGCTGTCTTGTAAACAGTAAGTCATCTCGGGGGGCAGTCTGAGACTATTCCTCAAAAGACGTTCGGGTTGAGTGGACATGTTCTGGCTGCATGTAGTGACTTCTAGTTTCTTGCACCTGTCTGCCCACTGTCATTCACAGTGACTGCTCAAGGAAGGGCTAAGGGGCCAAGATGTTATGGCCGATTACCTGGCCAGTCTGCCTTAAATAACTGCGGAGGCTCCTCTGATTCAGAAAGCAGTCTCTGGGGTGGAGCATCAGCAAGAACTGAGCTGGAAGCGCTGGCCATGGCTGCCTTTGAAGCCAACAAAGGAAGTCCTGAAGCCTGCGTGGTACCCACCACCCACAGAAGCGACGGGCCAAGTTCTGACATCTCTTAGGTCCTGTGTGTGGAACTAACCGGGTAAGGGGGAGACCATTATTCAAATATGGAAATTGCTCCAGTGATTTTTGAACAAAGACAATGAGTTATTCCCCAAACCAGCCTTTTACCACATGTCCAGCACCGTTCTGAACACTTTACATGCCCTAACTCACCTCAGCCTCACAACCGCCCTCTTAGTAAAGTACTGTTAGGATCCTGATTTGACAGAGGAGGAAATGAAAGCGTTTAAGTGACTTGCCACAGTCAGTGACAAATCAAGGACTCTGAACTGAGGCAGTCAAGGGTAAAATATATAGTTTCAAGCTTTGCATAAGAGTTGGTATCTGTGTTATCTGTGAGCAAGACACTTTCCGATACTAATCACAGCATGGGTGAAAATAACATTTTTTTTCTGAAGCATGGAAGACTTAAAAGGAAAATCACATTGTTTGGAAGTTCTCAGTGGAAAGAAAAGGAAATGAACATGTTTGTTACCCCCCCAAAATTGTGTGTGTGTGTGTGTGTGTGTGTGTGTGTGTATTCAACCATTTCTACCATGATAATACTTGAAATATTTTTTCCAGGGATATAAATGAACTGGAAGCAATAAAGGGAAGTTAGGTGCCACTGGCTGTATAAGGGCAGGGTTTTCTTAAGTGTGTTTAAAACAAATTTTAAAATTTCAGAGTTGTGCTAGTAAAGATAACGTTTAGATTGTACTGAACTGTTATCTATATATATATAAGCCTAATATGCTAAGTGTCCAACCAAGCAGTCGACCAACCGGTCACTATGATGTGCACTGACCACCAGGGGGTAGATGCTCCGACCAGTAGGTTAGCTTGCTGCTGGGGTCTTGCCAATTGGGACTGGGCGAGATGGAGCCGGACATGCCCTAGAGCCCTCCCATGGCCCCTCCCCAGCCACTGACCCCGAACTGCCCCGATCGAGACTGGGCAAGATGGCCCTGATAGGCCCCAATCACTGGCCAGGAGAAGGGACCCCACCCATGCACGAATTTCATGCACTGGGCCTCTAGTAGGATAGTAAGAAGCTAGGAAAATTCCAAGGCAGGAGGAATAGGGAAACTGAGACAAAAAAATTAAAATAAGGCCAGTTTGGCCACCTGTAGCCAGATTGTAAATAGCAAATCCTTATCTTCCTCCAACCAAGAATGCTGGAGAGCAGATTTCAAAGACTGCAGGAGAGGAAGGGAAAGAAAAGGGGGAGAGGAGGAGGAATTTTAATGCGACTAGAGAATACATACCTTAAATCACCCTGGAACTACTAAAAGACCGCAAAGAGGATGGAAGAGGGGGAAGGAAAAGTGCAGTCTTATCTCAGCAGCCTCGGGATTTAATTGCCAGGTGCTTCTCATAAATTCTGGGAAAGCCATAACAAAGTAGGGGGGGAGAGACCGTCAGAGTTAACCTGTACCAGGATATCTAGCAAAGGAATTTTAAAATCTAGAGACAGAAGGGTATATAACCACTTGAACCCTCACCAGACTCAGATGTAGTTTAGTAGATTTGTTTGCCTTGCTTCTTTAATATGTTCACTGACTTTAATTTTTTTAATAAGTTGGCTTCATCACAATGCCATTATCTGGAGTCACTCGTTTGAATTCATTCCTACGAGCATGACAAGAATCGAGGCGGGGACAGCCCTCTCCCTCTGACTCAGGGGGCTGTCTGGTAACACCTCTCTGGTGTCTGAGAGAGATGCCTATCACAGAAGTATTCTAGCTCCTGAGGAACTTAGAGAGAAGAGGGAGTATAAGTATGGAAAAGCTCTGCCAGTAACCAGAGCTGTGCCTCAGTGAAGGGAAATATAAGGTGATGGTCCAAAGAAAAATGAACACACCAGATCTAGCAGGACACAATGATAGGCCTAAACAGATAAAGCATTGGGTTTTACAACACAGATGTAGCGACTAAATTTAACCCTTTGAGTGCCAGCCAATATCCTAGGAACTATGCTAAAATTGCCAAGGCATTTTTGCTGATTTTACAGCAGTTTAGGAAAAAAATTATGAATCGCCAGTCCAGTAAATGAAGTTACATATTCAAAAACTTAAGGAAAGCTTTACTACATTGACTGGACGCCATTTGCCATTTCGAAGCTTTGATAGCGCTCCCGGCACTTTTGGCGAAAGACAGGAGGAGTGCGATCTCGCTCCCCGGCACTCTAGGGGTTAAATGTTAGGTGTACTTAGCAGAAGTTCATCAATTTCCCCAACCCTTTCTCTGGTCGACACAGAACATCTTTAGGATGAGGATTATCCCAATAACTATGTCTCAAAGTTTATCCAATTAAGTGAACTAATAATGCATACAACAACAACAGCACAAGCCCAAGTAGCTTAAGATCTCATGACTGAATGAATGAACAACTGAATGAATGGACGCAGTGGCTCGTGTGCCTGTGTGCCTTCTTAGGCACGGTGTGTTTTTGTAGGTTGCTTATCTCTGTTCTACTGCATCAAAATTTTATTCAGCTTTTATTAAAAGTTTTAGAAACTTACATATAAAGTGTGTACATTTACATAAAATGTTCCCTGTGGGAAGTTCGTAAAAGGATGATAGTGGACTACAAGTAAAAAGACAGGGGAAAGGGGACAGAAATAGGTAGATTGTTCTAACTTTATTTTTTTTTAAATATATTTTATTGCGCAACCCAGGTACATGCCCTTGACCGGAATCGAACCTGGGACCTTTCAGTCCGCAGGCCGACGCTCTATCCACTGAGCCAAACCGGTTTCGGCAGATTGTTCTAACTTTAGATCAGGATGTTATATAGCATAACCAACAAGGCAAGCTTAAATCCCCTAACAAGATTAAGTTTAACTCAGAAATCATCTCTAGTACCTCAGCCACAGTCACAATGATGTAATGGAGGGCTTTACTTAAAAGGATGACAAAATGAAGAGACCCAAAACCCAACAAACCATATAGTTAAAATGTTACTTTTGGGAAAGAGAGTACAGATAGAATCACAAAGTATGAAAAATGCAGAAACACTTCATATGAACTTTCTGACCATTGACAATGCCATTGTTAAGAATAGAACTAATTAGTTTTGAGGCATTTTATAACATGGGTTGGGCATTTTTAAAAAGTGGAACAAAAACTACATACACATGAATTCAGTGAAGACAATCTTTTCTATTCATATTTTGATAAATTAATTGACACTTAAAACAGCTTTTTTTCTTTTCTTTCTTGGAGCAAGGCTTATTGATGGAGAAGTCCTAGCTCTAGAAGATGGGAAAACTAATTATCAAATCCTTCTTAAGAGAGTCTGGAATCCAGGCATCTATTGTTCCTAAGGAAAGGGAGGAGGGGCAAGGCAAGGGGTGGGTGCTGGTATAGGCAGGTAAGCCTCAAAAGGGATCCAAGGAAAAGTGTGAAATTTCTCAATCCCTTTGTTCCCAGTTGGTCCACTGATGCCCACTGGTCTGAGTCCAGTTATGGCGACTCCTGTGAATCTTTGAAAAACAGTCATTACTTTGTGCATGTTTCCCTACCTCTTTGCTGACAAGGGAGTTGGGGGGGGTGGAGGGGGGAGCTGCTGCTCAAGACTCAAGCAGGATTCTGCTAGTTAATTAACATATCTGTAGTATATCTCTCTGAAGGCTATCAGAGAGAAGAATTTCATTGTTACAGTTCCCCCATTCTGTTCATTCTTCAATCTTGAGGGAAATAGAGCAACTGGGCCCAGGTTCAACACCAAGGGAGGATTAGCTTGTAGTAAGATTTGTCCGCCCATGGGTGCCCCTCTTCTGGCCCTTATAATCTCACACGCCCACCTGAGCCTTAGCGGAGGCATTTGGGGTGTACAGTTTACAAGCAGAGACCACAGCAATGGTGAAAGAAACAGTAGGCCAGGATACATGTACCCTAAGTAAGGATCAAAGCAAACCATAAGCCAGTCTCTGAGTCTGTAAGGCTGTCAGTCTAGAAGACCACCCCCCCCGCCCCCAGATGAAAGGCTCAGAGCTTCATTTTTGCGGGAATGAAGGCAGGCAGTGAAATTCGACAGATTGCACTGATCTGCAGTCCGAACATCAGCTGTCTCTGTGGCTTACACAGCATCCGTCATCTAAACCATCAAATGTGAGCTGTTGTGAAGATTTCTCCGAAGTTTACATTCTATCATCTAACTACGGTCTGCATATACAAGGCTCCGAATAAAGTTTTTGTTCTAAATAACTCCAGGGCAAAAAGAAGGGAGAAAAGTAAAACACTAGTTAAGAGGGCTGCAGCCAAACATTTTTGCTAGAACAATTCAGGACCCAGTCCTGTCCACAGGTGAAAAAAATGAAATTTTGAGGACAGTTAACCAAGCTATAACCTAATATCCACAATTGTGCATTATGGTTTCAATTGAAACAATTTCTCTCTCGAAAATCACCCTCATTTTATCAAAGAGAGCCAAGTGAAGACTAATCCATTGCCTAAGTCTAGTTTCAGTAAATTTGGTCTGTGATTTGCATAAGTACGACAAGAACAGCAATTGATTATATATCTGCTTTGCTGGAATTTCATAAGGAATCTCCAGATTAGCCTCATGGCTGAGAAACCAAGCCACATAGCTGCCATCAGCATTTGCCTGTAGTTCCTATAGATTGGAGTGAATTCCTCAGGTTCTCAAGGTTCCCCCATAATGTCCTCAGGGTCTCCCTTTGTCCTCTCCCAGGAAAGCAACCTGGAAAGGCTGCCACGAACCATGTAAGAAAGGCACCGGGCTGTTTTTCCAAGGGGCTCCGATCAGCCTCAGAAGTCACCCTCAATTCCTTAGAGCTGTCTGGGGAGATCCAGAGTCTGTGCACGTCTCCTTCAAACATGGCGTTCCAGTCAAAGCCTCATCAAGGGTTTCTAATCTGTGTCCTATTCTAGAGAAAACAGATTCCTATAGAATGTTATGCAAACAACCATGTTGCCGTGAAAATAATAATCATCATTCAAAGTCTCCAAACTTCTTGAGGGATTAGGCAGGGAGAAAAATATAAATGTTAAAGGCTTCAAAACTGCTTACAGAGGTATCATTTACCAAACTGCTGGGGAAGGGGAGCGGGGCGGGGGGAGGGGGAAGGTTGCTTATATCACACAGACAATTGACCAAAGTCCAAAGATGTTTCCTTACTCCAAATATGACAAGTGCAGGAGGGAGTGAGGAGGGGGGGGGCGGGGGGTGCAGCACAGTATAGGCGGTCAGCACAGTGGGGGCCAATCCACTAGGAACTCTAGCTCCTGGCTGGCTCCCCCTTCGTTACAAGCCCAAGGCTCGTGTGCCAATGCTTCAAAAGAAAGGCCAATACTCAATAGATCAGGGTTTGGAGCAAAGAAAGGTTTATTGGTGGAGAAGGCCTAGCTAGAGAAGATGAGAGAACTAATTCTTGAATCCATCTTGAAAATAGTAACATTTTATTCATAAAATATCCAAGCTAAACATTATGCTGCAGAAATGGTAAAGTTAAAAAATAATTGTTTTTTAACAACATGCTTACAATGGATCAAAGTTGAACGTGGTAAAGGTACTTCTGGGAAATGTATTTAACATGGGCCTAGCTATATTTTTATAGTTCTAAACTTCTATAAGAAAAATAATCAATCTACCCTTAAGATTTCACTGACTCCACTAATTCAGTTTTAAGGATACGAACAGAATTTTATAATAAAACACTTCCAATGTGATAACATACATAAGAAAGACATAAAGTTTTAAGTCAAACCAAAGCCTGCTGTAATTAAAAGTTTTCACTTAAAAATTAGTTGGGAAAAAATACACTGAAACGCTATTGTACCGTTCTGAAGAAAAACCTTTTTATGACTTCAACGACACGCCATTTTTAAGCAGAAGTCTTAAACACTTTATATGCTTCAAAATCTGTTGACGATTTGTTTTTCAATACTGTATTAGGTGCCATTAAAGAGACCCTTGTTCTCTGAAGCAGCTTCCTATTTATTGTGGAACATGCTCTAAGTCAGGAGCATTAGTATCATGTTGGCAAGTTACTGACATACGGCGATGCCGACACACTGTTGGCACCTGGATCTTCTGACCTGTGGAGCTACACAGGTAGCTATACATCTGAACAGTCACTCCAGTCAGTCACAGTTACTAAGCTGCTTTTCAGAGTGCTTGATTCATCTTGAAAGCCTGAGGGGGGAGAGAGAAGGAGGAAGAGGAGGCCCCGATGATTAAACAAGCGCATTGTCCAGCCTGGAAAATCCATACCTTCCTACCACAGTTTATCACTCAGTGTCTAGGTCTGCTCACCAGCCCCCACCCCCAGCTCGCACAGCTGTGCAGGAGCCACAGTCAGTGCAACCGCACCAGGGCCCCATATCCAGGGCATTCCCCAGGACCCTGTGTGGAAGCTCCTTCCCTGCATTCAGCATGTGGCCTGGATGTTGGCAGCACTCACTTCGCTTTTGTTGTTTTTGTTATTAACTCTCAGTGAGTAGGTGGTAAAGAAAGAAGAACAAAATAGAAAAGCTAAATAGGGTTTAAGTGGTAAACATGGATTTTCAGGGTAGATGAGCTTAAATATAAAGTTTATTAAAAACTGTCTTGAGTCATTGAACAGTTAGTGAGTTCCACTTGAGTTTGATTCTAGATGGTTTTCTTTTTGAGGTGCCTGGGGTCATGGCACAGGGAGAAGACAAAGGAAATGGACTAAGAGAGTCCTCTCTGCCCTGGGAACTTGGAGTCACTTGTACCATAAACATGCCCTTTTGGTTTTTCAACTATTAGAATCGATTTTCAGGTGCAGCACAGGGAACTTAATGACAGTTCCAGATCAGAGGTCGGTGTTAAGACTTGACAATGTCAGAGTAAAGGCCCAGCTGACACATTGGTGGAGGGAAAAGGTGAAGTGAAAGGTAGAGGTAGCAATGGTTCATTTTACAAAGCAGAGTGGTTGAGAGATAGTGCTGCAAGTGGCCAGAGCAAATGCTGGTATTGACGTGTTAATTTAAAATTACAAACATGGGTACAAAAATACCAATGAGAGGTGTGAGTAGAGAAAATGAGCTAAGTCTTCATCTGTTTAATAGGACATTGACAGTTAATATCTCAAGTTGATAAGTCTAGAACAGCGGTTCTCAACCTGTGGGTCGCGAGCAATGAAAATACATCCTGCATATCAGATATTTACATTACGATTCATAACAGTAGCAACATTACAGTTATGAAGTAGCAACAAAAATAATTTTATGGTTGGAGGTCACCACAACATGAGGAACTGTATTAAAGGGTCGCGGCATTAGAAAGGTTGAGAACCACTGGTCTAGAAGCAGAGGCACTAATAGCAGATTGATGGGGCACTACAGGTGGGAAGCGCTCCTGTACGTACACCTTGACTTTCACTGTGTGCAAGATTTACTCTGATAAAAAACATAAATTACACTTTCTAATTTTAAAAAATTAATGCATCAAGAGTTAAGTCTCTGGCCTTATGCAGACTCCAGGACTTATCCAGGAACAGTTTCTATTAATGGTTTCATTGTCATTTATCCCACTGGCTATAACGCCACAAGAAAAACCTTCCTTCAAAGACAATAAAAATACTTAATATGTAAACAGAATAACACAGGAAGACTGCCAGAAGAATGGCCTCATCCAAGTGCATGATCAGAAATTTTAATTCTTATGGGGCACCTGCATGAAGAGTATATTTACATGGGCATTTTCAAAAACAATGTTAAAATTTAAATACTAAAGATTAGTTCTAAAAGTAAATAAAAACAATTAGTAAATATACACAAATCAGTAAGTTGTGCATATTCAGTCCTTATTAAAATAACATAAAGCATCGAGGTCTTTGTTATGCCTACAGTGTTTCTGTCTGAGGATATATTTGCATAGTTTAATTAGATATTTATAAAGATGAAACGCAGTAATTGGAAAATGGACCGAGCTTCTGGAAGACACCAAAGTAGCACACCTTCTCTCTTTGGCCCTCTAGGAGTTGGTGCACCCCAGGCAGTTGGCACTTGAGCCAAATGTGACTCATGCTTCACGGGTGGAGGTTCTCTCTGCTCTTTCCCGGTTATTTTCCCCAGAGACTTTTCTTCTATTAAGGATGATATGTCCCAGTCGTCATCATCCACATCTGAGCACTAAAAGAAATACATGGAGAATAATGTTTCCTAAAGAAGTGGCACATGTCACTTTGTTGGCCAGACGAGCTGCTGACACTGAGCAATATGAAGCTGGGAACCTCAGAGGATCCATACTCTGGTCATTTCTGGAAATGGATTTAGAAATCCGTGTTGGAAGAAAAAAAACCCTTTTTTGTTTCTTGCCATGGAAAATAATGTTTTCTACTCTACCAATCATAAATATGGAAAACTCCAGAAACACTGCCTTTTAGAAGTAAAGTTAGGATGCTCCCCCAAGTAGGAGCTAGGGCAGCCCTGGAGCTCTTACATGCGATCACGACATTTAATCCACACGCAGGCCCTCAGGCATAGCCCCTACCCGAAAGGACTTGCCTATCTACCACAGCCTTTCTAAGGGAGGCACGTGCGCTCTGCCTGGAAATACACACATGGCGTTTTGTCATATTTGGCTGGTGTAAAACAAATAGCACTAACTAATAAATGTAGTTTGACAGAATGCTCTGGATTCCATAGACGAACAGGAAAAGAATTCATCTAAGTGAAAAATGAAGCAAAGAACGACTACTACTAGCAGACCCTGTCGACACGTCTGAGCTGTGCCAGAAATACAAAGGGAGATCTTCCTCCACAGAAACACCGGTGTCCTGGGTGTTGGAACTGCTCGGAACTGTAAAGGCCTCTCCTCTGCTCAGACTCTGCCCTCCCCTCGGTTCACCATCAACTACTGAAGGATTTCTCCACCAACTACTGAGTTGGACTAAACCCTGAAAAGTCCCTATTTTACTTCCAGGTCACACCATGGCAGCAGAAAAATCCCTGGATTCAGATCTAGAGCCCCCAGATTCTAGGCTGAAACAAGTTTCTGAGGACAAACCATCTAATAGCATCAACACACAGGACAGGATTCTGAAAAGCTGTAGTTTGATAAGCATAAGACATTGTTACCAGTTATCATTCCAATATCTTTGATTCTCTATGGAATGGGAAGAAAGGCAATACTGAAAACAAGAAAAGATAAAAATCTCAACCTCCATACTACAAAAAATAAAATTACGATGAAATTCTCTATAGTTAGCAAGTAAAAATGATTTCACCTTTAGTTCTTCTTTAAATTCTCTTTTGATGAATGCTTCAGCAACATTAATCCCACCAACTGGCTTACTCACATTTCTTTGATTTGAAACCGTCTTTTCAACTTTTTCAGTTAATGTTTTAATGGAGGTTCCTATATGACCAACAGAAAATAGGAAAAGTTTAAAAAACTTGTATCTATCTTCAGTTCCAAAATAACTTAACAAGCAATTTTGAGTTTAAGCTTTGCAAATAAGTATGTACTATTAAACGCAATTGATGTATTTGGGGGTTTAAAATGCTACATTAAATACTTATAATTTCCTTAAAAAATAATGGCTCTCTAGACTAGGAGCAGTAAATTTTTTTTATCTTATTTTTTTAAATTATTTTTTATTTGTTAAATTTATTGGGGTGACATTGGTCAACATGAACATATAGGTTTCAGGTGTGTGGGTTTCTATGCTACAAGATCTGTATATGCACTATGCGCCCACCAAAAATTTTAATTTTAAATCAAAGAAGGATGGTCTCATTCAAGTTCTGATCAGAAACATTAATTTCAGTGAGGTAACCTACATGAATAAAATAATCATATGGGTATTTTCAAAAACAATATTAATTATTTTAAATGAATTAGTTCTATTTTAGACAATTATACAAATATATGTGTATACAATACCAAAACTAACTTACATCTGATACGGTTAAAATATATTTTAAAAATTATATTAAATGGAATTTTTTTTTAAGTGAGCCTAGAGTACCATTTCTCTTTAGCAAATTAACAACAGTTACAGACTTGGACCTTACATTCCTTTAGACTTGCCCCATCTCCAAAAGCAGAATGTATTAGAATAGCCATTCTTATAGTCACCCAATTTTATTAGTTGACTATGTCTCTCTAAATTCATATGTTGAAGTCCTAACCCCAATACCTCAGAATGTGACCTTATTTAGAGACCGGGCCTTTTAAGAGATAATGAAGCTAAAGTGAGGTCATTTGGGTGAGCCCAAATCCAGGATGACTGGTGCCCTTACAAACATGGGGAATCTGGACACAGGCACTCATGGAGGGAGGCCCATGTGATGATAGGGAGACATGATATATCCCTGCGGCCCCAGTAGGAACTAACTTGGCCTCCTTGATTTTGGCCCTCCAGCCTCTGAACTATGAGACAACACATTCATTTGTTTAAGCCCCCCAGTATGTGGTACGTGGTTATAGCAGCCCAAGGGGACTACTACACCCAGGCATTCCCGAATCCTTCCTCTCCTTCCATGTGACTATCATTTGTGGTTAAGCCCTGTCCGTTTTCCTGAGGCAGCGGTAGCTTTTGGATAAGCCCTGTTCTTCCCTCAAGCACATTTCCAGCTCAGACTGCCTGTGCTGGCTGTCCCGGGGTGAGAACCACTGCCCTAAACAAAATTTCCCAAAGGACTTTTAATGATAAAAGCTCACCCATGGGCTTGGGAGAAATATCAGAGTCGTCAATTTCACTGCCTTCGGTCCAGTCAGTGTCACTCTTGACAGTTTTCCTTCCAAAGCTACTCTTGTTGTTTTTAGACGGTGGCACAAGAGGTAACTCTGGGGATGTGTATGCCTGGACGAGGTCGCCAGCATCCAAGTCTTCCTCAGAACTAAAGGGAGGCGACCTAAACAAATCAAACAGAGGGTGCTGTTTTCACAAGTTCCAGGATTTACAAATGTTAATGCCTCTTAAAGTGGTGGGAACTTTCTCAGGTAATTCCCAGGAGCTTAACAAACAAAGGGTGTGGCCGAGAAGAGATGGCGGCAAGGCCAGGACTTCTGCAAAAGGCTGGAGAGTCATTTCAAATCCAGACCTGACAACCATTTGGCATAAATACCAAAATGGACTGAAGCTATGACACTCCTCCTCTAAATCCAAACTTGTATATTCTTAACCTTCTTGGTTTTTACATACCTCAGAAAAATATTTCTCAGTGGGAACAAATATTTTTGGCAATAAAACTACTTCACCTTTAAAAATACTGTCATTATTTATAACTTACCTTTACACTGTATCTTACAAAGCCCTTTTACAATCTCGTTTGTATAACCGCATGAATTGTCACCCCATTTTAAAGGGAAATGAAAGTTCAGAGCAGTGTTCATTCATTTAAAAAATATTCACTGAACAGTTAGATTTCAGACATTGTTTAGTTATACTATATCCCATGAAATAAAGCTCTTCCCATGAGATTATGTACATGTAAAGAGCTTTTGAAGGGTAAGGCATTATTTATATTGTCTCTACTATATTATATTTCTACTGTCTCTACTATCTATATATATTTATATATGTACATAAGGCATCAATGTACAGATTTATAGTATCTATATCTCTAGAATAAGTCAATGATAATGAAATTCAATTATAAAATTAGTTTTCCTCATAATTAATAACAGTAATATACCTATAATTTATTGAGTACCCACAAGTGCCAAGCACTGAGGCCAAGCCCTTTTCATGTATTCTTACTGTTATATAACTATGCTGTGGAAAAGGCAGTTTCATCCCATATTACAGATAAGAAAACTGAGACTTAACCCTGACCGGTGTGGCTCAGTGTGTTGGGTGTTGTCCCATGTACTAAAAGGTTGCTAGTTTAACAGGGCACAAGTCCGGATTACGGACTCAATCCCTAGTAGGAGGCGTGCAGGAGGCAGATGGTAGATGTCTCACTCTCATGTTGATGTTACCCTCTCCCTCCCTTTTCCCTTCCTTTCTCTCTTAAAAAAAAAAAAGAAAACAAAAGAAAAGAAAAAAATCTTTTTAAAAAACACTGAACTTAAAACTGGGACTCAATTGAATCAATGGCACACAGTTAATGACTGACTGAGTTAGGATTCTTAATACCCTAAGAGAGCCTTAGAATGCTAAAATATCATCTGGCCACACCAGCCATGAAAAGTCAACATCATTCCTTCAATTTATCAAGCCTATTGAAAATTAATAGACACTGGGCGGGGGGAGGGGGGAGAGGGGGAGCAAATAATGGAAGTGAAGCAGGGTGGTTCCACTTCTTTTTTTAAAATATGTTTCATTGATTTTTTACAGAGAGGAAGGGAGAGGGATAGAGAGTTAGAAACATCGATGAGAGAGGAACATCGATCAGCTGCCTCCTGCACAACTCCCACTGGGGATGTGCCTGCAACCCAGGTACATGCCCTTGACCGAAATCGAACCCGGGACCTTTCAGTCCGCAGGCTGACGCTCTATCCACTGAGCCAAACCGGTTAGGGTTGGTTCTACTTCTTAATGGGGGCCACAATGTGATAAGCACTATTATATTGTATAAAAACTAATAAACAAATAAACGCCAAAAAGGAATAACAAATTAATTATGACATTTAATAATTAAGGCTTTAGTTAACCACAATGAGCATACTAATTTACAATGAAAGGGATGTTCAGTGGAAACAATTCTTTAAATAACCTCTCCCCACCCAAGTACTCTACTCACGTAATATTTGAAGACTTTCTGGGAAAATGATCTTCTGTGATATTTTTCTTAATTCTAAAAAAAGAAAAGAAAAGAAAACTATTTCTAAACAGCATGAGTGAATAATGTAATTTAACATACATTTCTATGGAATTGGTGATTTTTGCTTTTAATGTATATTAAAGAGGGTGAGCAACAAGAGTCTCCCAGTACCTATGAGAGATGGGTAGAAATTGCAACTATGATTCTCTGTTGAGTTAAACATTGTTGTGAGCTGAATGTTTGTGTCCCCCTAAAATCATGTTGAAGCCCCAACCCCCAACAAAGTGATGGTAGCTAGAGAAAGGTCTTTGAGAGGTAATTAGGTCTGAAGTCATGAGGATGGGGGCCTCGTGAGGGGATTCGTATCCTTGTAAGAAGAGGAAGAGAGACCAGAGCACGTGAGGATACAGCCAGAAGGCAGCCAACCATCTGCACGTCTAGGAAGAGAACCCTCACTGGCTAGCTGGCATCCTGATCTTGGACATCCAGCCTCCAGAAGTGTCAGAACACAAATCTCCGTTGTGTCAGCCGCCTGGTCTATGATGTTTTGTTATGGAAGCCCAAGCTAAGACAAGCATTCATGTAAAAACTTTAGGGTTGGAAAATACTTACTTTGGGACAGATGTTCTATCAGTGAAAACAGGTCTTTGTTTAATCAACTGTCTGCTTTTGGGAGGAAGTTGCACTGCTTTGGGTATTTCTCCAGTTGAAAGGGTTTCCCCTTGAGAACCACTGTACCTGTCTGGAATAGTAGTGTTATTCATGAGTCTTCAGTGCATGAAAAGCAGAAGAAAAGACTGTAATACTGTCTATGCTGGCACTGAAATGAACAAGCCCATCTCTAGGGTCTAGAGCCCGCATGAAAGGATTTCTCTTAAATGTAAAAACAAAATACAAAAACCAACACTTAATGGTTCGGACAACAATAAAATCGCAAATTAAGTGCCAAAGTTTGTGAACCATTTAAAGTTATGAAAAGGTTGTTCAATTTCACTTCCATCTGCAGAAATGAAATGGCAGTTAGTAACAGCCTTACCTGAAGTCAGTACTATTCTCTCCTCAATTTTAGAGCTGACCTGATGTTCAAGGGACTCTCGAATTTGCTGAATGTTAGGCATCTGTCTTTCTTGATTATGTCTTTTTGATTCCATGGTTCTTAGCACTCTATTCAATTGATCGCTTGGAATACCACGTGTATCCTGAAGGAATAAAATATTAAGTTAGTCAATTATCCCAGGATGAGATAAGGAATGGTCAAACCCCACCTGAAAAAAAGAGCCTATGGAAATTTAAAAGACTGACAACACTAAGAGTTGGTGAAAGAGCAACTGAAACTCTCATGCACTGATAGGGATAGTGTACATTGGTACAAACACTGAAAAACTATTTGGCTATACCGATTACAACAAAACTCAGAAATTTCATTCCCAGATAGATATCCAAGAGAAAAGAATGCCTATGTCCATCAAAAGACATATGTAAGAATGTAGTGGTCAAAAAGAGTCGCAAATTAGAAGTCCACATGTCCATTAACAGGGAATAAAGTGTAGCATATTCAGGCAGTAAAATGCATATTATACTACAAACCACTGCAAAATGAAACAACAGATATGAATCTTATACACAAAATCATAAGCATAAGAACTCATATATAAAATGCTACATGATGTGTGATTTCATTCACATGAGGTTCACGAACAAGCAAAATTAAGTCAGAATAACCATTACCTGTTGTTGAAGAAAAAGGGGTGATATTGACTAAGGAATGGGTTTTGAAAATGATCAATGTCTTGATCTGGGTGGTAGGTACAGATCACACACACACACACACACATACACACACACACACACACACTCACTCAGAGACATATACACACAAATTCATATACACACATGATTATATGCATACATATAGGAACACATGTACACACATGCATATCTATATATACATGCACATGTCTATACATAGATACATATGTGTATATACAGATCTATTTACACAAACACTATACACATCCATATGTAAATACATATATGTAGGTACATAAATTCAAGTTGTTCACTTAAGATTTATATATTTTATGTATATCAATAAAAATGTAAAAAGCAAATGTAAAAAGCATTTTGTACCGGAATAATTCAATCTGGTAAAAACATGAAATATAATTCATTTACCCATTCATTTAACAAGTATTGCTTAAGTGTTGATTTTGTAACAGGCAACAATTTGAAGTTAATAGCAGAATGTAAGCAGCACGGCAACGGCCGAGATACAAACCCTAGCTCCTTCATTACTAGCTGTGTGACCTGAAGCAAGTTACTTAACCTCTCTTAAAATGGAGATACTATTGTCACTTACCTCAGAGATTTGTTTCTATGTTTAAATGATTTAATATTCATGAAGCTCTGGGAAAGGTGCATTAACCTCTAGTCTCCTAATGTGGAGAGAACTGACATGTCTTCTTCTCATCTCTGATTCTTTCTTATTTAGAAAACAAACCAGCAAATGTTCAAAAAATGAGTAAACTTACTGCATTAATCCCCAAGCTTTCCAATTTCCCCAACAAATTCTGCTCCAAGATTGATCTTATTTTCTTAGTGAGAGAGGGGTTAGTCTTCCAAGCTTTCCTGACATGGTTCTTGCTGTTTTTAAATTTCTGTTCATTTTCCCTTCCTGAAATAAAGTTTCAAAAAATGCTTTAAAAAAGCAATTAAACAAATACATTAAATCTCTAAGTAGAAAAGGATAAAATACAACTTTTAAACAGCAAGTAAGCATTTGTAATCTTTTAAGTTTGGGGATATTTTAGTCATTCAGCACAATGTATAATGCTTAAGTACTGTAGCTTTTAAAACTTTAAGTCAGCTTCAAAACTTCAAATGTCTTTAAAGACTCTTTCTTGATCCCTTAACTGAATTATATCTAGGTAAATAATGCAAGAAGTTTGTCTCTAAAGAAGCACAATGGGAAAAAAAACACATTTAGAAGTTTAACTAAGTTTTATTCTAAAATTATTTTACTATTTCCTGAATGATTCATTTTTCCTAAATCCAGTTAGAATTTATTTATCAGTTTACAAAGAAAAAGCTCAATTCATTTTAAATAACTAAGTTTTTATATAGTAAACTTAATAGAAATTTTCATATGAAATTTCAAAATGTGAAATTATCCCTCTTAAAATATTTACCAAAATGAAAAAGAGGTTAACAGAAGTCTTGGGGAAAGCATGTTTTGCTTAAAACAACCTATAATTTAAAATAAAGGAAAATAACAGGCCAGGTTCTTCTAACTTTTCCTTCCCTATTCCTCTTTTATTGGCCCCACTAAAAAATGTATACTTAAAGAGAATTTGGAGAAGGGGCGTGTGACCTTGAAGAACTGAGTCCTTCATAAAAAAAAAAAAATGGAAAGTTTGATGAAAGAGACCCAAAGTTGGGCAGCTCTGACACTTAGAGAAGGTGCAAAGGAAGATCTGGGAGAATACAATAGTATTATCATTTTGGAGTCTAATCTCCTAGTCTCCAAACAGGGGAGTCTCACCAAATATCACTGCCTGGATCTGGGGCTCTAGGAGGGCCCCCACAGACACTCCATTTTCCCTGTTCCATCCATTTCAGTAGATAGGATATTTAGTTGCCCAAGGCACTTAGATGTGTAGATCTTAAACAAAATGCCTTTGGTTGAGATGTTTTCTAAACACTAGCTCAATTCCAGTAGTAAAGAGTATTGTCTGTTCATTAATAAATGGGTTTGCTGACTGCAAAATTAGTCAAATTACTATTTGTACGTTAAATAGGAGGACAAACCTTGCATGATGATGCTTTTATATACTTTGCTAGTGCGGCTTTCTAAATCAAATGATAAAACTGTATATGATTAAAAATCAGAAGTAATCTTACATTTTATATTCTCAGCACGTATGCTGCTCTTTTCACTGCTCTTCCCAACCATTGTTTTCCAGTATTCTGAAACCACCCTAAAAAGGTACTTCTGTCCTAGAAACTGACAATGCATTTTAATCTAGAGGGTTTAGCTGCAGCCATGCTGTGTCACTGACTTTGGCTGCCAGTTGGCCATCGACTCTACAACTATAGGTATAGCTAAAAATAAAAAGAGGTACCAAGAGACAGTCTGGAAGTGCGGGAGCTAACACTGGAACACAAGCACCTCCTGTGCTGATTATGCAGAGATGATGTTTTTGGCCGGCATCTGGGATATAAAAGGAACTGCACAGAAGCACAGTCGAAAGAAAAGTCTGGGCCCCTGTCTGCCCCGGGGCGCAAGGAGAAACGCAAGGGTCAAAGGAAGCCAAGAATGGCTGGGTTACAGTTTAGATGCGTCATAAGGTCTTGGATAGTAATCGCTGAATTCATTTGGTTGATTGATCCGGGTTCACCCTCACCCATGATGACAAGTTCCTTTTGGTGACTTTATTTCCCCAATGACCACAGATTAAACATTTCCTCTGTCCTCAGATTCACTTTATATGTTGGCACTGGTTTTGGAAAGCCATTTATGAAAAATCAGAAAACCCCTTGGTTGGAAAGACTCTTAGAAGGTTGGAGCTGGACTTCGGAAGCAAGAGAAAGGATGTAGAGTGGACAGGGAAATGATAATCACGTTTTTGGGAAAAGATAGAATTAATCACTTGAAAACCAACAACAGCTGAAGATTTTAATTCAGGCATGTATTGCTCACCAAGATCAACACAGCAAAACTTTCTACATATCAGCACTTCCTCTAATTACAAATGTGAAAGCTTATGAAAGCAGATGAGCAATGCGCAATAGACCACACCTGTGATGGGTCCATCTGACGTACAACATAGCATTTATGGTAAGCAAATAATTGTAGCAAACAAAGCAAACAGTAAAAAACAAAAGCAGAGTTTTTGAGTTGGAAGGGACTTTATCCTCTAGTAAAGAGCCTCCTCATTTTTCACAGAAGGACACCAAAACCAGAGAGGTGAAGAGACTTCCCCCAAGGCCGCGCAGCATTGTCACTAATCAAACTGAATGACTTGGAGCAAGCTCCTGATCCTGGTTTCAAGTTTCTGAATTTAAAAAATGGCCTCTAACACCACCTCCTGGTCCTCACATTCTAACACCCTATAAACAGCAAGATCAAGTACGCCTCTACACAACTGTCAATTAGTAAGGAAGAGTCCTCCTGATGAGTTACTTCTTGGTAATAGCCAGTGTTTTGCAAACCACTGCCAAGGGCCCTAGGGCATTCATTGCACAGGCATTATCTGCAAAATGTTAGCACAAGCTGAGGAACTTATTGATGGCAATTAATCTGCTGCCAGCGTGCTAGCTCCGTAGAGGCATTGGAAGAATGTGGTCACTGCTTCTGTAACTGACAAAGCATTTTGCCAGAATCAAACCTGCAACCTGAGTATGTGCCCTGTCTGGGAATTTAAACCAGGACCTTTTGGTACGAAGGACAATATTCAACCAACTGAGCTACACCGGCTAGGGGTCTGGGGTGTTTTTGATGGTCCTCAGTACCACCTCCCACCAGAGCTGTGTATGAACCCAAGAATGGTGGCGAAGATTTTCTTTCCCAATCTGATTCCCCAAATGTGGCAACAATCAATGATGGTGTTTGCCATCAATGGTCCTAAACTCACGCCACACGTTCTCTGGGTAGAAGAACTCTAAAAGAAACATGGGCAGAACGATGCAATGGGTAGAAACTAGAACCGAAGTGCTGATGGTGGACAAATCAGGATTCCTCTTGGAACCTAGCTGACTCGTTTTTAAAATGAGTGTGAACGATATGACCTGAGGCTCCAGTTTCAAAACTTTGGGCCTTTTTAATGAACCTCCTGATACATTTCATGGCTTCTTCAGAGAATAAGATATTTTGTGTTCCAGACACCAATAAATGACATGTAAGAAAGAAAAAGCGTGCTTCTTGAAAGTTAAATGACAATATACATCATATAGATATTATGGACATGCCTGATTTAGTCATTTCTCAATTTGCAGCCTTGTTAAAAATTTTTGGGAAAAAGTCTAGAGAATACTGAAGCTATAACAAATATTAAGACTCTGTGTATTAGGATATATAATTTTACTTCTCTTCCTAACAAAAAATGACAAAACCAGAGGCCATATAAATATTAACAATTTGTCTTCTCTGAAAGAAGTGATATATGGTAAAATATTATCATTACTAAGGAGAAAATTATGATAAACGATTCAAATATAATTGTCCTAGAAACTACAAGTCTAGCATCAGAAAATACTCCTTAAAAAAAATTTTTATTGTTGAGAGTATTACAGATGTCCCCTTGCCTGCCCCCATTGCTCCCCCTCCCATTGGTTTCCAACCCGCCCCAGGCCTTCACCACCCTACTGTCTGTGTCCTTAAGATCTTTGGTTACTCTCTTCCCGTGCCCCCGATCCCCTTCCCTTTGAGATTTGTCAGTTTGTTCCATGTTTCCATGCCTCCAATTCTATTTTATTCACCAGTTTATTTTGTTCATTAGATTTCTTGCTCATTTATTTTTTAGATTCAATTGTTAATAGATATATATTTATTGTCATTTTATTGTTCATATTTTTTATCCTTTTATTTTTCTTCTTCTTCCTCTTCTAATGGAATACCCTTCAACATTTCATGTAATACTGGTTTGGTGGAAAATACTCTTAATAATGTAAAATAATTTTCATAAGCTTCAAACATTAATTTCTAGAGAATAGTTTTTAGAACTGCCAAATAAATTGAGTAGGCCGTAATATTTTAATTAGCTCCTTGAACCTGTCATAGCTCTCAAATTCCACCAAAAACATTATTCTGTACATACATATTCCACATTCAGAGCTTAAATGTTATGCTTTCCTTTCTATTGAAAATAATTTTTGAAGTGGGCACTTCACATGTACATTTCACAGATTCAGGGTATGAGAAATAATTACTGTGATACAAATATTTTCATATCAACTGGCGCACAACATGTGTCGACTTGTCATATGATCAGAAAATATCTGCATTGACATAAGTTAATTTTCCCCAAATTAACTTATTCAGATGCTAAGAATACAATAAATCAGGGTGGAAATATAACGGCATATTAGGGGAGTAAGATGACAAAATACTATATATAGATTGATAATATAATCCAAACATAAACATCTTCCCTAATTTTGACACAGTGTGCTAAAAACCACTGGATCATATTTTCAAGGCTTGATGTTAGCATCTAAATATAACCTATGCAGGTATAAATCCTGATCAAGACCTTTGTTACCTTTTTCTTCCTCTGAAAGTTCTTCTATTGGTTCCAGTATGTGCGATGAGAATGCCTGCTCTATTAATGAGGAAAAATAAGAATAGTACAAACAGGACAACAGCAAAGTAAAATTAGTTTACTTTCAAACAATATTGAAAGCTATAGTCCCATAGTATTTTAATCTTGTCGAAAAGAGCAAGAATTTACTGGGGAAAAATATTGAGGCAGTCAGCTAAAGCTACTCACTTTTTCATGGTATCTTCTCTTTCTACATATTTTCCCTTAACTCCATTCTCAGGGTATTACATTTTTAAATAATTAAGTCAACGTTTCACATTCATCAACCTCATGCCTGATATTATTCTTTAAATGCACAAGGATACTACTAGACCAGGTGGCTAAATAGAAAATTATTGAAAATATTTCAATTTCCAAAGATAACAAAATTTCTAGGGCCCTAGGACTCGCACTTCTCACGAGCTTTAAAGTGGTAGGACCAGGATGATAAAAGGTAAGAACAGGTGGCCCTAGAGTCAGCAGCTGGACTAAGACCCATTCTTGAATACCTCCCTGTCCCTAAACCACATTTCAAGTCCCAGTTCTGCTCCGAGAGGCACCAGGGCGGCAGACAAATGATAGATGAAGATGGGCATTTCCCAGTCCCACCCCAGAACAGTGGTGGGGAAGACAAGGCCTCAGGGCGACTTCCCCAGGAAAGGTTACTGTGCAGATACAAGGAAGCCCGCAGCCAGCATGGATAAAGCTAAACCCCCTTCTATCAACAAAGGCTAAGTTCCTTCATGGGGAAGGTCCGGTTTTGGCCGAAGCCCTAACCATGGCAGTCAGGCAGACAAGGAATGAAATGTAACCAGGGAGTCTTATTTAGTCTAGGACAGTGGTCAGCAAACTCATTAGTCAACAGCCAAATATCAACAGTACGACGATTGAAATTTCTTTTGAGAGACAAATTTTTTTAAACTTAAACTATATAGGTAGGTACATTGTTATTTACTTAATTAGGGTACTCCTATGGCTTAGGAAGAGCCACACTCAAGGGGTCAAAGAGCCGCATGTGGCTCTCGAGCCGCAGTTTGCCAACCACGGGTCTAGGAGGATGCATGGTTCACTCATCGTCACCTTGCAGAGTGACACAGGGCCCCTCCCCAAGGAGCTCCCCACCTGTACCGATAGGACAGAGTTCATTTCATTCTACCACCAAACCACAGAGTGCTCACCAGATTGCCAGGCATGGATCTCAGTGTTTTGCATATATTAGCTCAGATTTAATACCTCCTACATTAAAGGCCGGGCTTTTAATTTATTAGAGGTCATTTCTGGCACTCTATTTTAAGCATATACAAATACACACACATGCACACATATATACATAGGTATATACAATTGAGTATATATATGTTATATTTAGGTAAATGTAAATAGGCTCTTACAGCTTGGTCGGCAACATAGTCAACATATCTAACACTGGCTATATGGGAGAAATGCATTTTAAAGTACTTCTTAAAATTAAGTTTATTGGTGTGACACTGGTTAATAGGATTACATAGGTTGCAAATGTACTTTCAAGTGAACTTTTGGAACCCAGACTATTAGTAAGCAGGAGTCCACTTCAATTTTAAAAAGGAGCACAGCCCTGCCAAGGAGCATTTAAGTCCATCCATGTACCACAGCTGCTGAAGACCAAAACATGTGCTTTCAAATTTCTTATTCAGCATCGAGACTTAAAGATCTACAAATAGACTATTTTACTAGTTTGAACTGCTGAAAATAGAAATTTTAGGAGGACAATCACAGGCTTTTACTATCACATGGTATATATTTTATTATACTTTGTGAAAACAACCAAAGTAAGGTTACGAGGAAAGTTCTATAAAATCTCAAAAAATACGTGCATATTTATTATCATTATATTACAGGGATAATTCTGTGACTTATTTCTCTCGAGTCAGGGTGAACTGTCAAAGTTCTGACTTTTCCTGTTGTGGTATGTAGGGCAAGGCCTTTGGGGAGAAGGAGATCCCTGAACCTGAGCTCCTACTATAGAGGCTGAGGACGTGAGGTCAACCAGACCCCAGCTCCCAAAAGAAGCAGCTGGTGTCCCGAGGGGGGAGGGTCCAGACTCCCAAGGCCCCAGTTTCTGTCCTGAGCTCCAGGATGAGAGCTGAAACACCCTGAGGATTGAGTGTCCCCTCTGAACTTGCTGGACACTTCCAGAAAAAATACTCCTACCAGTTACCTACCATTACCTCCAGAAAAAAAATGTACTCAGCCCTTTCTCCCACTGCTGGCTCTGTTGGGTTTCATCATCCCTACACTCAAGCTAACACTGAGCCAGTGCCTGTTCAGTGGCTCCTGCTCCAAAGGCCCTGCCTCATTCGACCCTTTCCACAGCCCACTGAAGTAGCCATGACTATTCTCGACATTTGGCAGGCAAGGAAACCTAAGCCGATTATTTCATGAGTCAACTGGTGCTCACTGGGTTTGTCTTCCGGATTCTCTAAACGGCACCACCATCCACCCGGTATCTGAGCTCATCATGTTCTGCTCCTGTCCTCACCCTTGCCCCCCAATCATTTGTCCAGTCTTTCCACCAATTCCACTGCACAGCTGTTATGTCAACTCCCTCTGGTTTCATCACCATACCTAGATTCCTAGATGAGGAATCTCCCACAGACTATTGCCAACATCCCCAGCTAGTCTCCCCAACTCTGATTCTATGAATATACTCTGGTCTGGCTAAGCTTCCTGAAGCCCAGCTCTCCAATCCAGCCTTGTCCAGCTGCAGAACACCTAGTGGTTACACAATGCCACAGGAACAGCCCTGAACAGGTACAGTCAACTCAGTGGTAACCATGAACAGTCTCAACCCACTTTCTTTCCTTCAAATCTCTTCTGCAAACTCTGCGCTCAGCCAGATAACTCATGTGCACCATTAATTCACATCTAGTGCTTTCCTGCTACCTTTTCCTTCTACTTTTTGCTTCGTCTCAGCTGAAGGGAGCAGCCGCCCCCAAACACACACCATTTCCTGGGACAACTCACATCCGATACTGTCACCTCAATCCAGGAAAGTTTGGAAGTGCCATCCCAGCTCTAAAGCTCCTGGTAGGATCTGCGGAGGGCTCCACTGCAGCTGCACCTCTCAGTCCCGCGACTCTCACAGGTGCTGTCTGAGAGCACTGCCTGCTAAACCTCCCACCTGCAAACCTCCCCCTCAGAGTCTGTTTCTCAAGGAACCCAGCCTAAGACAACGAGTAATCATGACATTATTTATGGAGAGGAACCTCACCAAGCTTTGAGATGGAACAAAAGGAAAGACAGAGGTAATTAGGCTAATGAATGTTACGCAATACATGACTAAGCCTCTCCCGCCCGAACCTCTAACACAGGTGGGTTGGGGTAGGTCAGTGAGCCCCAGCCAAGCCTCTGCCTTGCTTCTGCCCATCGAGATGCTCACAAATCAGCTTTGATCCCAGTCCAAGGTTTGCAGGCCCTGTGCCAAGCCTGGCTGGCATTTAAAAGTAGCATTTCAATCCCAGCAGATGCCAGCAAGAGGGCATGGTTGATTCCTGTGGCCCTGGCCCAATCAGGGCAGGTCCACATGGAACACATTGCTTTAGAACCAACAGATTTGTCAGGACCCTTGAACTAGCCCCAGGTAGCTTAGCATACAGACTGCATGCGTCCTTTAGCAGGCACCAAAGAGATGACGCAAAGAAAATGTGGACCTTACATAATGTTATAACCATAAAAAAGTAGAAAAAAAGAGAAAAGAAAACCAAACACTGTTGAAGTACAAAAGAGAAGTGGCCAGCAATTGCTTTATAAAAATCAACCCTACAAAAGGAGGCAACAGAGAAATTTTAGACCTGATATAAAATAATATGAATAGAGAATAATGCCAGAGAAAATTGTATGGAATTTCAATATTTAAGTAAATTTATATAAACCCAACATACATTTTATGTAGTACTGGTCTAAAGGAAAAAAAGAAACCCCTGCATATTCTAAACACGTGAGTAATAACATCTAATGTGTGGAGAATTTGCATTACATATTGTGAACACATGCTCAAGGGAACTGGTCCATCTGAAATAATCTTAGGAAAAAAATAAGGGGCAATAAATACTTCACGCGTTATTCAGTGGATGAAAGAGACAATTACGAAGTCCATCAAATGCAGACCACAATATTTACGAAGACAAAACGTTCAGCTTGATTGATCATGGATTTAAGTCTAATTAAAAGGCTACAAACAAATGTGGAGTGAAGTAATCATTAGGTAAAATAGGAAAAAGATAGTCCCCCTCTTGTCTTATTCATTTTTAATTTACAGCAGACCATAGGAAAATAGCACATTTAAAGACATACTACAAAAAACTGTATGCTCCTAACTATACAAAAGGAAAATATGGCTACAAATATTCACCCTATCTATTGGGTGATGTTAATAACAATTATCACCCCCGTGGTCTGGTCCAACAACTGAATCCTGGCAGCGATTTCACCCAGTGGGTCCTATTTTTTTTCTTTGGTTTCCATCACATGTCCTTTTTAGATTTTTCCCAACCAATCGCTGAAACTGTTTATTTAACAAGTTGACATGCTGCCACACTGAAAGTTATAAAAACAGTCACATATGCCCTGTGGCATGTATTGGTTGGCTGGTCTAGAAAGTCACCCTCTCGCCCAATACCTACTACTTTCCACCCAAAATCATAAATGGTGAAAGTACTACTAAAAGTTAAAAATCTCTATTTGTAGGTCCAGCAACGTACACATTTTATACTTTATGGCTTTGGTGGGTATGTTCCGTTTATGATATTATAGGAATATTGAAGTGGTATTAACTGTATTTGCATTCACTAAAATGTTTTCTGTTTTGCGTAATTACCCCCACAGAAAAGTACTTTCAGTTAATAAGTAATCTAACTCAGGGTGGAAACTGTACATAAAACGCCCAGACTTTGCTGAAACTTACCATGTGCCATTGTTAGACTTGACTTAGCATCCAAAGTCTGTGGGGCTGGGGCACTCACTGAAACAGCATAAAAAAGTCTCTAATTAAAGCATCAGCAACGGAACATGATGGAAACCAAATACTACTCAAATTAGTCAAGACATATACAGATCATAAGGGACAAATGTTTCAAAGTAATCTAAACCAATTGTTAATAATAGTTTTATTGAAATAGAATTCACTCTTTTAAAATACACAATTCCATGGGTTTTAGGATATTCACAGAGTTGTGTGAAGGGGAGTAGAGTTTGCCAATCCAAAATATGCCTCGTTGGGATACTGATTATGTTAGGCTGGTTAATTTTCACCAGTAAAAGTTACTGGGTTTGGAAAACTAAAGTCCCTGGGACATATCAGCCCGCCAGCTGTTTTTATAAAGTTTTATCGGAACACACTACTGTTCCAATATTATGCCAAGTATAATGAAAGTATGGACAATAATAACCAAGAGCCTTTTAACCTTTCATCCTTCTTTGAACTGTATTGTTTTCTTTATTTCATAAAATACATGTCCAGCTTCTGCTCTCCCCTTGGCCCGACTCTTAGCATTTAAACTGCCATCTCCTCTTCAGCACCTCTCAACCTCTTCAGATTCCAAAAGCAACATCAAAAAGTCCTCAAGAAGCATCTCAGAGGAATGAGTGGTTAAACCCAGTAGCATTTTCCAGCCAATAGTGCCAAATTCCCAATCACATTCATCAATGTTCTTTCCGTTTTACACAGCGGAGGGCCCGTCTACTAGTAAAAGGCAGCTACTCGGTGCCCCGCCTCAGCGCGGGCCTGCGCTCTATTTACATCCCTGTTAACGCACACATCCTCTCTCGCCCAGGATCACCGGCTCCCTTACTTCCTCCACCCTTACCCTTTCCTGAATGAAAACAAAAATATCTCAAATTAAGAAACAGTCTGTTCGATTCTAAACAGTACAGGTTATGTCTTTTTGGATTATAACCAAATCCTGATTGCTCCAGGAGACAGCTGTGCTGAGCTGAACTTGACTGAGTGACAGAGGGAACATCACTTCAAAGCCTGAGGCACCGAGAGTCCCAGGGAGGCCAACATTGGTGGCTGCCACACAGTCACTTCTTCACAGTGTGTCACCTTGGGAAACCCAAAAGTATGAACTGGAGTGATGCTAAAGAATCTGTAGTCATCCCGTTATTAGGTGAACTACAAAATAATAGGAATGGCTAACCAACATAACCACAAAGACATGGGAATATGTACAATCTTGGTTTTAGAACTAGGTGAAAGCCAGGAATTAAAACATATTATCATGTAATCTGCAAACAGGGATTTTCAAAGAAAAGTCTCTAGAAATAAGTAGAAGTTATGTATTGGTTTAGCACTTTAGAAAATTTCTTTAGAATCCTGAGCTTACGATGGAAACTTACTAGGTACAGCTTGGGCAGGTGGCTTAGATTCAACAGTTTGCCAGATTAAAGAATTCCCTGAAATAAAAAAATAAATAATTAAATTGATAACAAAAATCACAAGCTATGGTATATATATATACCTTACATTTACCTTAATCTTTCCCCCCCCCACACAAAACAATGACATTTACCAACATATAGTGACTCACCCAATAGAGATGTTTAACAGAAATCCTTAAAAGCTAACTTTTCCTAAAAATACTTTTCAGAAAAATATTTATGCTATTTAAGTAATTATACAGGTATTCCTCACTATCTGAACTCTCACTATTCAAAGAGAAGTTAAAGGGAACCACGGCCCTTCCCAAACCTCTCTCTCAAAACAAGAAGGAAAGCAGTATATAGGTCAATGTCTTTCCTGAGGGCCCCCGAAACAGAGAGAAAACCCAGCTCATACACCCATTTCCAATCCCAGTTAGTCTCTTGAGTAGACAAGGTGCCTTAACAACCCGAGACGTTCAGGAAACAAGACTGAGATCACTTAGAAGGAGACCAACAGAAGGCAAGCTTTATGTTTTATCGTGAGACCCTGTACTTCTGGCTGCCAGTCTCCCATCTAGACTCTCCCTTGAATGACACAGACATGGGTGCTATCATTGCTACAGTTAGGAGTAGGTTGTATATGCCCTCACTATGCTTAGGACAAACCTGTAACCCCAAACAACTGCAACGGAGAATAATGCAGTTAGCCTCTCCAGTACTTTAAAATAATTGATTTTACTATCAATAACAATAGCTAACACCAATGAATGTTTAATAGGTGTACTTTCACATGTCCTCCCTGTAACAACCCTAAAATATAGTTATTATTAATATTCCAACTTTAGAACTGGGGAAACTGAGGCAGAGACTCACAAAGCTACTAAGTGCCAGAGATGGGAGTTGAGCCAGCCTGTCTCCAGACCCTTTTAATCATAACTCCATCGACTGCACATGCGTACAGAGGAAAACGGTTCCTGAGCATAACAATATTCTGATGAAAAATATAGGAGACCATTCAATAATCACTTAGGTCTTTAAAATTCTTTAACTTTCTAAGTTGTGATAAAGGATCTCTCAAATTAAAATAACAGGAGGAATGCCATCTTAGCACCCATAAACCATCCGGCCCCACTTCTACTGATGTCCAGCCAATGGTGAGGGACCCTGCCTTGCCTCCAGCATTGGGATCCTGGACCACTTACCTTTGGGTTCAATGACACTGTTTACTGGTTTACTGGTAAATTCTTTTATCTGCAAAGAAAAACAGTATTCTAGGGATACATGTTTGGAATCAGATAGGGACATACTGGATAATGGACAGATATTGGACTTCGTAAATTAACCTTCTCATGAAATCCTCCAAAGACAAGGGAGGACACGTGGACTTTAAAGACAAGGAGACAAAAGTTGTATGAAAGCAGCATCTGGACTCAGCTGCTTCTCAAAGTAATCACTAAAGGAAATTCTTATCAACCTTCAAATGTGTTCCTAATTCTAATTGAATAAATCTGCTCTACAGTATTTTTAAATAACTTTTAAAAATTATTTGATTGAATTTACTTTTACAAACAGCTACAGGAAAAAATATTCCATCTTTGCCCAACTTACAAATGTTCTAAAATAAAACCCATGTTCTTAGATAAACTGCACCGCTTAAAGAAAACCAGTGCCCATAGGTAGCCAAAAATACCTGTGGTCTCTGAATGGTAATCGGTTCGCTCTGTTCCTGGAATCTCTGCCCTTGCTCTTCCATCCTTTTCTTGTAGAAAACATTGTTTGCATTTAGACTGTCTATCATTAAATTTTGAAGTTTCTCTATATGTGACAGGAGCTGGAAAAAGAATTAAGAAAGGAATCAGTTTGCACATTGCATGTAAACTGTCTTCTGCAGTTTATGTGTGCACTAAAAGCCCAGTGCAAGAAATTCATGCACGGGTAGCGTCCCTAAGCCTGGCCGGCGATCAGGGCTGATCTGTGGGGCAACCGGTGGGATGACCGGGTGGAGGGGAGGCCGCTGGCACCTGCCTTGGCTGGCTTGGGGCCTGTGGGCTGGGGGCAGCTCCTGCAATGAGCATCTGCCCCCTGGTGGTCAGTGTGTGTCATAGCGACCAGTCGTTCTGCCGTTCAGTCGATTTGCGTATTAGGCTTTTATTACATAGGATACCTGGCCTTATGTTCTCTGTGCATATTAAGTCATGGAGTAAATCTTTGATCACTGGGTACCAAGGCCCTGACTGAACAAGGGGCTTCATTTCTGTTCCGAGGAAGCTGATAGACATCACTGATAATGTGAACAGCTGAGTGAACTTGAGACATTACATGAAATAACACAGGGATGATCAATGATAAAGGGTCAAGGCTTCTCCACAGAGCGGCTGCGACCGCAAGCAGTCCTATCCTTCCCACATCCACATGTGCTGTCCTGGCGCGAAAGTGCACTCCTTGGGCGAGAGAGCCCATCTTGATTATGTTTGCCTGTCCAGCCACTAGCACAATCTCTGGCTCTTCAGGTTCTCATTAAATACTTATTGAGAAAAGGAAGGTGGAAGGAGGAAGGGACAGAAAAAAAGAGAAGGAAGAGGAGAGGAAGGAAGGAGTGGCTGAAAGCAAGGGAGAGATGCAAAGGACAGAGAGATCCAAAGATTCATAGATAGATTCATCTTTTTTTTTAATATATTTTATTGATTTTTTTACAGAGAAGAAGGGAGAGAGATAGTTAGAAACATCAATGAGAAAGAAACATCGATCAGCTGCCTCCTGCACACCTTCTATTGGGGATGTACCTGCAACCAAGGTACATGCCCTTGACCGGAATCGAACCTGGGACCTTTCAGTCTGCAGGCCGACGGTCTATCCACTGAGCCAAACCGGTTAGGGCAGATAGATTCATCTTTAGAGTTAGTGTCAGGGGGAATCATATATTGAATGAAAAGAATTCAAGAGTAATTTGTTTTGCTCTAACTGGTTTGGCTCAGTGGATAGAGTGTCGGTCTGCAGACTCAAGGGTCCCGGGTTCGATTCCGGTCAGGAGCATGTACCTTGGTTGTGGGCACATACCCAGTAGGGAGTGTGCAGGAGGCAGCTGGTCGATATTTCTCTCTCATCGATGTTTCTAACAAAAAAAATAATAATTTGTTTTTAGTCATTAAGGGAAAGATTGTTTGTTTGTTTGTTTGTTTGTTAATCCTTACCTGAGGATATTTTTCTATTGATTTTTTAGAGAGTGCGGAAAGGAGGGGAAAAGACAGAAACGTTGGGATAGAGACTGCAACAGAACTGAATGTGCTCTTAACTGGAATCGAACCCGAGACCCTTCAATCCTCAGGCCAACGCTCTATCCACTGAGCCAAACTGTCTAGGGCTAAGAAAAGATTCTTAAAGCTTTTTGAGTAGTAGCTTAAACATAAGGAGGGCTGGGGAGAGAAACTTGGTAACTGGAGCTAAGGACATTCCAAGCCCACAGTGTGGGAATGGAGACAGGGATGTACAGATCAAATAAAGCTGTAGGGGAAAGGGCGGGGGGGTAACTATGCCCGTGAGGGATACAAAAGGCGTCTAGGGCTAAGAAAAGATTCTTAAAGCTTTTTGAGTAGTAGCTTAAACATAAGGAGGGCTGGGGAGAGAAACTTGGTAACTGGAGCTAAGGACATTCCAAGCCCACAGTGTGGGAATGGAGACAGGGATGTACAGATCAAATAAAGCTGTAGGGGAGGGGGGGGGGCGGTAACTATGCCCGTGAGGGATACAAAAGGTGTCTGGGGCAGCATTTCTGACCTGCTTGATTTTTTTTTACCAATCACTGGTCTTGTGCTAGAGGCTATTAAGCACTTGAGAGGTAAAGTAGCTGCTGGTCTAGACTCAGACAGCTAGAGGGGGAAGAGCCCAGACTTGAACTTCCATGCCTGGCTTCAGAGTCAACACTCCCAAGTGCAGTGTCTATGTCATGAAATATATTAATAAATAATACTTGCACGCAATCAAGCAGTCCCCAGGAACTTGCGCAAAATGGTACAGCCACTTTACAAGACAGTTTGGCAGTTTCTTATAAAACTATACATATTCTTACCATACAATCCAGCATTCGTGCCCCTTGGTATTTACCCAAAGGAGCTGAAAACTCATGTCCACACAGAAACCTGCACACAGATGTATGTGGCAGCTTTATGCAACATTGCCAAGATTTGGGAGCAACCAAAATGCCCTTCACTAGATGCATGGGTAAATCAACTGTGGTCCACCCAGACAGTAGAATATTATTCTGCATTAAAAAGCTATCAAGCCATGAAAAGACTTGGAGGAACTTTAAATGTCTATTACTAAGTGGAGGAAGCCAATCTGAAAAGGTTATATCCTGTATGGATCCAACTATATGACATTCTGGAAAAGGGAAAAGTACAGAAATAGTAAAAAGATCAGGGATTAGGGGGAAGGGAGGGATGAATAGACAGAGCACAGAGGACTTTTAGGGCAGTAAAAGTATTCTGTATGAAACTGTAATGGTAGATGCATGTCACTTAACCAAACTTACAGAACACAGAATACCAAGAGTGAACCCTAAAGTAAACCTTGGACTTTGGATGATAATGATGTGTCGATGTACGTTCGTTGATTGTAACCACTCTGGTATGGAATATTGACAGTGGGTGAGGTTGTGCTTACCAGGTATGGGGCAGGAGTATTTACAAATTCTCTGTACTTTCTGCTCAGTTTCTTGTGAAGCTAACACTGCTCAATCACATTTAAAAAACAACAACAACAAAAAAGTGAATGCTCTCAATCAATACACTGCAGGATCCCCCATCTGAGGCGCTCTGTGTTTGCATGAGGTTGGACAAACACTGGGTTAAACCAAGTTAAAAAGGTTACCTGAGTGAGGACTGAAAATAACCTTTCATATCCAAGTGGATGCTAAGAATTTCCCCCAAGGAGGACATTGTCAAGAATCTTCTCTACATTTTTACAAATAACTGGAAGAGTGCCCCCAAAAGCAGTTTGGGAAACACTGAGCTGGAAAATAGAAGTAAAAGCCAGTAAAGATGTCTGGGGTTCTGGGTAGAGGTTTAGGATCAATAATATGGGGAGTCGTTACAGGCCCCAAGAAGAAAGAGGACATAGGAAAACCTAGGGGATGATACCACTTTGATATTAGAATTGGAAAATGAGCACAAAATTACATAAAACTTCACTGAGAGAGGAATGGGATCATCTAAGCAAAGGATGGCCAGATATTACTTCAATAAACCTGTCGCTCTTGAGCCCATCTGTTATGACCTTCTACCACTTCAAGTCTTTGCTTTTTTTCCTATCAGTCCACATCATGCCATCCCCCCCATTCCTGACCATCCTACAATTTCCCAATTGGGTCAAAAGGGTGTACCATCATTTATCTGTGACTCCCTTTGAACTCCTACCAATGTTATTTAAAAATAAAAATAAAACGACTGCCAACAATCTAGGTAAAGCAATAAAAAGCTGGCAAACGCAACTTCCCTTAAACAGAGAAACACAATATGTGCATTGTAGGAACAGTAGGCACCAATCATGTGGAATAATTAATAGTTAGGTCGCAGGCAGAGATTACTAAACTGATTGAATTCACCCCTCTGTTAGGGTTTAAGGGAAATGAAGGCAGAAGTCACCAGCTTCTGGACAAACAAAACCAACAGACGAGGAAGCAGCATAGCCTAGCGGCACAAACACTCCACACTCCCAATCCGTGAAATGAGGCGCCTCACTCAGAACCAACAGTTGGTCCTCTCTATCATGACTTGCAGTGGCAAGTGTAAAACTGTAACACGCATTCTGTTCTGCCAGAAGCCAACTGACTTCCCCACAGCTGCCTGGAATACAAAGGGCTTTCCTTAGAAGACCAAGGACTAAAACTGACCCCTATTAATCAGGAAGACCCTAATCCTGTCCCTAGGCACCAGTGCTTTAAGATGCCTTGAACAATAAGAGTAGGAACTTCACATAATCTAAGAGCAGTGGTTCAAAACATGGATCCAAGACAGAACTGTCCAGGCTTGGTTTTTTGGTGTCTCTCCCCTTTCCCCCCAACCAAATATGCCTGTCCCAGACTCACCTACGGAAGGGGAATCTCATGCTGTACAGTGAGTGGCACATGTGTATTTTGGAAAAGAGCCTCGGGTCGCTCTGAAGGGCAACCCTCTTTAGGAACTACCACCTTGGAGCATCTCAAAAGAAAGCTAGAACATTCTTACAGAAAAGCTGGCTAAGTTGCCCCTGTCTGTTCCCCTCCCCAGCGGGCTTAGTGCCCAACACCTGAGAAGTAAGCAAGTCAGTGAGGCACACAAGCAGGGCCCTAACGGTAAGGGGGC